TTTCACCAATGTAAGAAGCCTGGCAGTCGCAGCATTTGATCTTGTATACTGCTCCCTGTCTGTCCTCCGGTTTGTCTTTGTCCTTGACATTAGTAAGCAGTCGCCGTGAAGTGGTTATCGGTTTGTGTGCGACACGTATATTGTAAGGTGGTAATATACGTGCAATAGTGTCAGAGGTGCCTCTGATGTATGGTATAGTCGCTGTCGTAACAGGGCCAGAGTTGGTCTGAGTGTTGGAATCAGTGTTACTGTGAGTGTTCCGTCTAACAAAGTCCGTGTTGTAATTGTTCTTACTAAAAAGGTTGTTAAGATAGTCAGTCTCGTCTTGTAGTCTGTCAGGTGAGTCGCAAACTAGTTGCGCTCGTCTCGTTAGAGTCCGGATAGTAGTAACCTTGTGAGAGGTCGGGTTGTACGAAGACTGGTCTGGTAATCGATCGGTATGTGTCGGTTTTCTGTGAATGGTCGTTTTTAGTTTGTTGTTGTCGCGAGTGACCAAGCAGTCTAGAAAAGGTATCTTACCATATTAGCGTTCTCGGTGCAGTCTAGAGCCAGTTGAAGTGGAATACTGGTGAACAGTGATTTCACGTCAAAGGACACTAGTTTGTGGTCGTCCGGTATCTGTATTGAACTTCTGTTCCAAAGTTGACGAAAAGAAACGTTGACTTTGTGCGCGTGTTAATTATTTGAGGTACGTTGTTAATTGGGCAGAGGGCAAAAGTTAAAAAAAAAAAATTATTGCAGACTTCCTTAATTACGTAGTAATAGCGTTCTTTCCGCTGCAAGATTAGGTCAGTCGGTAGAGCGCTTGACTGCCGACCGGGAGGTCGTGGGTTCGATTCCCGGGACCGGACCAATATTCAGGGTATTAAAATAACTGAGAAATGAAGGCATTCCCTTTGTACTGTAAACGGCTAGACCTCCTCGTGGCTCGGGATGACCAAGTAAAATGGAGGTCCCGTCTTCAGTAAGAGACGTTAAAATAGTGCCCTCAATTGGTACTTTCGTGCTAAATACCTTGACTTTCTTTTTTATCCTTTTTACGCGTAAATTGTGCAACAGTATTTTGCTGACCTGTATTTTATTTATATTTTAATGCTGATGTCATCTGGCTGCCTGGCTCCGCTCCCTATGGTTATTCCAGGCAGTCACTGCTCTCAGATATTACTTTCCATTTTTTCTTTATTGTAATTTATTTTGGGCAAGACTGCGCAGAGTACATAGTGGTCATGTGTTTCCCCCAAAATTCCCTGTCCATCTCCTTTTCCTTATCAAACACAAGACCCTCCCTTCTCAGATTAAAAAAAAACGTGGTACCCCCCCCCCCCCCATTCTCATACTTTTGTTCTTTGTAGTCTGTTGTCTTCGGTCAATTATTTCCTCGTATTCCCGGTCATGTTATCCCACAACCTCGTCCCCAGGGCGCTTTTCTTGTGGCTTTGGAGGTGGGGCGCCCCACCTCCAAAGCCAGGGAAAAGCGCCCTGGGGACGAGGTTGAATCCCAGATGATCGGGGAAAAAATCTGGAGAATCGGAAGCGTTTCTATTTTCCCGACGCGTCCCAGATGTCTGCGATTGTCGCCGACCATTCCCGACGAATGAAAACTCAAATTTTTACCGTCGGGGGACGTCGGTGATGGATTTCGCTCATTACCAATCCTCTAAATTGCTGGGCCCCAGTCCCCCTATCACACATTTGTGTACAATTCAATTTTTGGCACACTTTCCATTTCTCGCCAAATTCAATATCGGGAGAATCTGGGGTAGAATTCTGGCCCCGGTTGCTCAAAAGTTAGCGCTATCCACTGGATACGTATTCGGGAAACCAATTGCGCTCTCCAGTGGATAGAGATTTTTCCGGTGGATAGCGTTATCCACTTTTTAAACAACTGGGGCCTGGCGATTATCCGATATATCGGCAAAATCTGGGACGGGCGGCAAAAAGTAAAATCCGCGATCGTCTGGGATTTTCCTGACACATGAAAACCAGGCTTCTGCTTGTATGTTTTGTTTTCCCAATAGAGGCCTCTGGGACCTAGGGGAGCTTTGCCCTTTTGTATTTTCATAAATCATATGCACGTGAATAAGAAACTTTAAAGAACAGTTCTCTAGAATATCACATCACATGACTGGTATTGGGAAAACAAAACTTTCAAGCTAAAGAGGGCTATTGGGATATCAGCACCGTAAGAGACAGGTAACTCTCCAGTTTTTGAAGCTTATTAACCAAAAATGAGGTTAAGAGAAATTGATATTGGGTTATAGAAGAAACAAAAAACACACTCTCCCAACTGAAAGCATGTTGGTAAATCTCACGGACAGGGGGAGGGGAAGGTTAACGGCTGTAGTGCGATAACATTGATGCAAAAACGTTATGTAGGACGTTTCAACAGTTCCAAGTGCTAGTCGATGTCAAATATTATTGCCATTTGCATGTTTGCCTAAGTTTTAGCTTGTCAGGTTATAACTTTATGTAATCACGTTAATCAGTTCAGTTTGAACTTATTTTCTTGATTTTTCCCATAGACGCCCACCTCCCGTAAGCGACCACTTCGTCGTGCACCAGGGGTGGTCGCTGACGAGAGAGTTTACTGTATAAAGGAGACTGTCAATGTGACAGTATTCAAGTCTGTAACGTGACCCGCTGATCATAACGCGCAGGTAGGGTACTCTCAGGAAGCTGGGCATGCTGGGCACAACGTTTGGAACATTGCAACTGCTGCAAGGGACTGTATCAGGAGCCCATCAATTTGGCAAGCACACGAAAAATCTTCAGTGAGTTTTAACAGTTTAATGTTTGTCAGGTTGATCCTGGTGATCCCTACCCTAAAACAAAGCGAATGGATCTCGCCAAAGAAGGATTGGAAATGTGAAGTTTTCAGTTCATTTTGTCAATCAGTACTGCAGTAGAAGCCAGCTCTCTCAACAGACACTCCCTTAAGCAGACAACCGAAATGAAATCTCAATCGCCTCTGAGTGATCACAATGAATTTATATCTTTTTCAGTCTTTTTATTTTCACATACCCATCTGGTTCAAAACACCACTTGAATGTTATGCTTGTGACTGAATTACAACGTCGTCAGAACAACATTATACTCACGCCAAAATACTCACAAACAGATTTTTTACATTCCCTACGTTTATTTGTAGCAGGGTGAGCTCCCGTAAGCGACCATCTCAACATTATCGTAAGTGCCCAGCTCTAGTTTATGTTACGGACACCTTTTTCGTTTCTCGACGGTGTCCGCTTTGGAGAGCTTTCACTGTATTCTTGTTAGGAAAGCCAAGAAAAAGGGTCTTCTCGCCTTAATCAGTGAATTTATCCCTTATCAGATGTCTATGAGAATATGTAGTAGCCTCAGGAGCTTGTAGCCTGAGTTTCATCCGATTGCTTCGAGTCGTTTTCTTCTCTCATCAACTGAGGGAGTAATAACGACTCGAAGTCATCGGATGAAATTCAGGCTAAGGAGCTTGTAGCTACCTTGCCAATCTCCGAAAATATCTCTTCGTGACTTTTATAAGCCGGAGAGGACAGCGTTGGGGTTGGTGACTGGTGCTATTTTTTGATAATTCAAGGAAAGGTTTATTTAACAATTTTTCCGTATGGCAAAACAGGACTACCTTTTCAGATGTTCCGTTGCTCCTAGAAATTTTCCGCTTGATGGAACGACCCAAAAAGTTGTTTAAGTAGTTACTTCCCAACCGGATTTTCCGGAAACTTTTTGTAACCGGTAAACAAGTACCGTCTTCAAAATAATCCCATGATGCTCCTCAACACAACACTGACCCAGTCTCAAGCTCTTCAAAATGGCCAATCCGTGTAACAGACCCCAGGGGGTTCTCCCTATAATGGCTCATACGGGAAGCCCCCCCCCCCCCCCCCCCCCCCTGCCCCCCCCCCCCCCCCCCACGAAATGGGTACCTTTTTGAGGCTTCATGTATATCAAAGGGGTAGGGATTTCACTTGTTGAAGTATATGACAGGGTAGGAAAATCTGTCATTCCGGTCGGTAAAAAAAGCTCAGAAGGTCTAACAGATGCATTTTATGGCTGAAAAAAGTCACGAAAACGTTCTGGTTTTGTGATTTATTCATATTTAAAAGACAGTGCATTTACGGCAGTTGAAAGGGATGCAAAGTCCTAAAATAGCTATGAGAAAGGGGCACCATTTGTCAATAGAAGGTATACGAAAAGGGTACCTTTTATGTCAAAAATGGTATAAAAAGGGTAAAGGAGTCGGATCACGTGGCGCTTATGGCGCAGCCTCCCCGTGTAAACCTTTTCAAGAAAAATGACCCCCGATAAACAGACAGCAGTCTGGATTAAATAGTGCTTTGTTCGCGGCACAACCTATCCCAATGGTTTCTGTGATTTTGCTATACTTTTGAAAATGCTAAAGCAGTAAATAGTCTGGATTAAACAGTGCTTTGTTCTCAGCACAACCTATCCCAGTGGTTTCTGTGAAATTGCTATACTTTTGAAAATGCTAAAGCAGTAAATTGTCTGGATTAAATAGTACTTTGTTCTCGGCACAACCTATCTCATTGGTTTCTGTGAAATTGCTATACATTCGAAAATGTATCCTGAGAAAACATCCGTCATTTGGCGACGCTACCACTGGTTTCCCCGCCAAATGACGTCTGAGAAACGAGCGAAGAGATTCCATGCTGATTACGCGTCACTACCCAGATCTGGGAAGTGCTTCTGATTGGCCGTGACGCGTGGGTAATTTGATTCAACCAATCAGAAGCACTACCCAGATCTGGGTAGTGACGCGTCATCAGTATGGAATTTCTGCGCTCGTTTCTCAGATATCATTTGACGGGGAAACCAGTGGTAACGTCGCCGGCCAAATGTCGGCTGTTTTCTCAGGCTATCGAAAATGCTAAAGCAGTAAATAGTCTGAGTAAATAGTACTTTGCTGCCGGCACAACCTATTCCAATGGTTTCTGTGAAATCGCTTAACTTGTGAAAGTGCTAAAGAAGTAAACAACTCGAATGTGTCAAAAGAAGTGATACAGCAAACCCGTGAGTCCGAAGAAGAAAGAAAGCCATGCTAGCGATGTATTAAAAGTTATCCGCCCAGCTTTAAACCCACATCGTCTCCTTTCAGCGTAGGCAACAAACATGGTTAGTTGATTACGATCTTTTAATGGATGACCTTCATTCCAGTCGCAAGTTGTACTGCAGTTTATTTTCTCCCAGATACCTTGAAAAAGAAAAACGGACAAAGTACTGCAATTATGAAATCGTTACGATCACGGTACCACAACATACTTCATTATGGTACCCGTGGTTTAAATACTTCTTTAGAGATTCCCATTATGGAAAGAGATACGTAGACTGTAGACCTTGCTACAGCTTGCATGGCAAGCTTTTGGCGAGGGAACACAACGGGGCGCAGGGTGTCCCAGGCTTCAACGCTTCTCTTCCCCTCCCCCCACCTCAGGGATCCAAATTTTACTAAAAAAAATCGGGAACCCAGTACCTCAAAACCGGCGATCCACAGCGTGGAGTCCAGAATTCAAGACCAGTGGCGGATCCAGGAGAGGGCCCTGGTGGACCCGTCCCCCCTTATTTTTACACCAAACTGAGGCCCGAAGGGCCGAAAAAAATTTTCTTGAGACCGGGCCCCCCTTTTGTCAGGGTCTGGATGACCGGAACCCCCCTCCCCCCCTTATATGAAGGCCTGGTTCCGCCACTGAAGACTACCGATTACTCAGAGACTGAGAAAGTAATTTTGTAGCGGTAGATTGCAGCAATGAATTAATTTCTAAATTCTCCTTACCACTACAAGAATTTGTGATCCTGGCAGCAAACATACAAGGAAGAAGAAACAAGTAAACGTGGCAAACAAAGAATAAGCCGAGGTACACCAGGTTCAGGGTTGGTGTGCCATACTTATTCCTCTCGAGGAATTCTTTGGAAATGTATATGACTGATAATACAACTCCTGCACCGTAACTGAACCAGTGAACCACGAACCACACGCTGTAGGCTGATACAGTGTTGAAGACTATTGTACACAGGTGTTCGTGAATTTTTATGACGTCATCAAGAGTCTTATTTTGCTCTAGGTTCTTGATATGTCTAAGGGCATCTTCTGCAAAAGTACCTGGTATATAAAATAGAACCAAGCCTGATTAAGGTATTATGAGCCAGAGCGGGATCATGAATGCATTAGCAAAATACAAGTGAAACAATACTGAATGAAACAGCTAGGCGTAACTGAAACGGAGCAAAAAAAATTTTAAAAAAGAAATGTAAAATGTAATTTGTTTACCCACGGAGCACTTAGGAGTTGATGAGAACTCGTTAAAATTTGTCCGTGCGTTCCAGATCGAATTGGAATTTGGAACTGTTGGCTTTTAAGGAGAGGGAAAAAGCGGAGTACCCGAGAAAAAAACCAGTCTCGGGGCAAGGGATCGAGAGAACCAACAACAAACATCAAATTCAGCCCACATATGGCGTCGACGCCAGGATTCGAACCCGGGCCACATTGGTGGGAGGCGAGTGCTTTCACCCTTACGCCAGAACTGCAGAGCCTCCATACGCTTGTATCGCCGAAAATAAGAAGAAAAAATTTGAATGTCTTTAGATAACTTCATTCTTGCTCCAAATGCGAAGTTAAAACCAACAGTGACTTGGTAACAAGTTTAAACGCTGATAGGTGCTCACCGCTGAAGCTCTTGTATCAGTGGCAACCCAAAAGTGACTAGTGAACTGATTAATTACCCTTTAATTTTTTAGCCACAAACCTGGGCGAAACAGTCCTGTATCAGTAACCAAATAGGCCCACCGTAAGTCTGCTTTGATCTGGAACTGATGTCCATATAAACCTTGACTGCATTATTAACTGAATTTTGGACCTATAAATCAGCTTAGAAATTCCGGGCAAACTGTGAAGAAACTGAGAGACAGGACTACATGAGATGATCCTAATTTTAGTTGTCTTTTGATCCTCTTTTGGTTGATAACGAACTTCCTGGCGGGGAGAGGAAAGAGGAGAGGGTGAGGGGAGGGGAGAGGAAATAGCCTTTTTAAAGTATGACTTGCAAAGCGCAAACGAGCTGACGGCAAACACATGGCAAGTTGTAATTGCTGTCCATTGTGCGAAAAACTGCGCACCCACTCCAGTCGCGAGTGTGTCGAAAAAGGAATTTCGAGGTTGACTCTTCCAAATTATGGCATAAAACACCGCCACTGAGCATAGAAACAGCGTTGTTATAACAGTAAACGCAAAACACAAGCAACAGACGCCCTGCAGACGTTCTTTTTATCCAGATCATTGTTATTTGCATCTAGAGACTCAGAAGGAGTTATTAATGCAACGTAAGTGTTCCTTCTTGTTGCGATGAAACAACCAATGAAAAGAAAGTAAGAAATAACAGCTGCGACTGAGACGATCGTGTAAAGAGCGTTTGCAATTTCCCTGTCATCTTTATGATGTGAAGTCTTGTTCTTATCCGTTGAATTTTGTAGAAAGCCGCAATCAAAGCCGGGACAACCAAGCACAACATAAAAATCGTAAACAGCTTGATAAACGACGATTGCCCCGACTAAAACCCGAGGGATGTAATTCCACAGTTGATGTCCCCATAGACCAAGAGAACAAAAACAAATCTTGAAAATAGCCAGCACCAAAGTATCACATTTACTTCTTTGCAGTGTCTCTCGGCCAGAGCGGAAGTCGATTTGCTCGATCTGCTGGCGTTCGCGGGGTAGAAGGGGATCTCGTTCACCACCCAAGGATACATTGTCCTCCTCTATTACAGAGGACTCTTCTGCACTGGCCATTTTTTCAAATTAGGGTAGCATTTTCTTCAGACGTAATGTACCATAAGATCAGTTCCCTTCATCATCCTCAGCATGATAAGTTCAGTTTACTTTCGGTTTCACTGTGCTCCCACCCTTGCATGACCGGAAACGGTTTGAAAAACCAAATTAAGTATTTTTCTACGTAACGTAACGTTTGTTGTTCGCCATTTTGAAAATCAATAACCGCCAACCATATCCTCGCTGGCGAACGGAACGTCGCCCGAAGGGTGACCGAAGGCCGACGCCCGCAGGGCTACCGAGGCACGAAGTGCCGAGTAAAAGATCGGCTTACACTATTTTATATCTAAACGATCTCACGAAAAAATAGGGGACTGTGAACATTCTACGTTTTCTTGTTCTGTGTTCAACACTATCGAAGCACAAAGAACGGATGGGCTCGATTATCAGCCTGTGTTCGGGAAATGAGCCCGCGGAGGGAACAAGATCGGTTAGAGAGAGCCGCGGAAATCACGAGTCCACCTGCGTCCATGGCAACCACGTCTTGTAAAGCTGCGGAAGTGACGAATGTCATCAACTTGTTGCTTTATGAAATATCACGCAATCAGATTGGTGTCCTATTTCACCTTTCAAAATTCAATTATTAGCAATCTAGCTGGTGACAACGGCAAAAAAGTCACTGAAAAAATAAGACGTGCAATGATATTTTAAGAGAGGTAAAGGACACGTCTACTTTTCCTCTTTCAGTTTGAAGGTTAAGGAAAGCAGTTCAGTGATCTTACTAAACTTTTGAGGTTACTGCTCCGATACATTGCATTTTGATACATAGTGTTTAATAGCCTACTCATAACAATTTACTCAGAGAGTATATTAATACTGATATTTATTTTTAAATAGACTAAAAAGAAGATAGTTGATACTAAGTGAAGAACACTCGCTTTTTATTCTAGGTATCTAAGGCACCTGCTGTATAAACTCCAGCACTGGCAAAGGGTTTCATCGATGTTCACAGAGTGATATTGGATCGCGTTAGTATATAATTGCCATTTTAATAATACAGACATTTAGCGTCAGTAAGCTATCCTAAGCTGGACGGTACGGTGTGATTAGTAGATACTTACATAAACGTCCATTTCAGATCATATCACTTTTTGTCAAAATCATTTTTTATCCGCAATTACAAAGGGTGGATCTTGGATCCACTTGAGCTTGAAGGAGATGAAGACATGCATTGTTCGTTTTTTTGAGTAGCCCTTTGTTTTTTAGCATAGTTTAAAATATCTGCTGTTTTCTGTGGCAAAAAAGTAATACTCGCGGCACAAAAGAGGCTCTCTTCACTGGCTCTTATGCACATCCACCGTCTAACAGATAATAATAAAGTTGTCTCTTTGCCACAAAAAAAAATCAATTTTTGAAGTTTCAAAATTTGAGAAATACCCATGTTTTTCGAAACGTTCGCAATACAATCTTAGACAACCTAGTTCATCACCCCCGGAGACTTGCTCCTCCAGTCTCGTACGCGTTTAGTCCGCCTCCTAATTGGATCGCACCTCCCCGTAAAAAATCTGGCTACGCGCCTGATCAGGACATGCTCAACTGAGGTAAGTTGCTTCCAATGTTTTGATTTAGATGCAGATGACCATCAAATATATAGGGCCGGGCCGATAGAACCAAAAAACCACAGAACTCGAAAACAAAAAACCCCAGACCAATTACAGAAATACAATCCAAATTTTGACTTAACGGAAGCAGAAAACCCAAAACAGAAATACACCCCAAAACTGAAAGAATGTAAAACGCCAAATAGAAACACCCATACAAAGCTGGAATCACAAATCACAAAACAGAATATAACAAAACCAAAATTTAAGCAATAGAAAACGTTTTCCGTGTTTGCGCCTGAAATAAACACTCGAGGGGTTGGGAGAATTCTCGACAGTTATGCAAACCCGAGACGCAGTTGAGGGTTTGCATAACTGTCGAGAATTCTCCCAACCCCTCGAGTGTTTATATCAGGCTATGCAAATACAGGAAAAAGTTTTCTATTGCATTTATAAAATAACTTTCCCGAAAAAAAAACGCGAAACTCTTTGTTATGGCACTGATTAAAAGAGAAATTCAAGAAGTCTTGCACGCGTAATCAGTTCTTGTTTTGCAAAAAGATGCTGTTCAAAATACGGATTTTTTTTCGGGGAAAAAAAATTGACACACCTTCTTTGTAAAGATTTTCCAAGTTTCAACCGACGGAGGAATGGGTAAATAAAGTAAACTTGTCGAATTTTGAACTCGAAAACCTTTTCAAATTCGCCCTTGCGTGATTAGCGGGCGAAAAGCAAACATCTTGACGCCACAACCATGTTTACATACTCTCACGCAAACACTCCTCTCGGCCAATAAGAGCGCGCGTTCTATCTTAAGATAACTTACAACCAGAAAAAGAAACATACCCTCAGTACCAGTCTCTCAGATAGTAGGGACGTCATGAAGAAGAGATCAAGGTAAAATAAGACGCGCGTTTTCTGGGAGAGAGGGCTTCGTATGATTGAAGTCGCGAAAACAAGGTCGTTTTTTCGATTCAGTTTTCACGATCTCTACACAAAGCTATTTTGGAGCCCAAAATGGACTAGAAAAAATAGAAACGGAAATAAAAGAAAACCCAAAACAGAAATACCAATAGAAAACAGAACCACAAAACCCAAAAACATAATCACAAATTTAACACTATCACATGTGATGGTTTTGCAAAATGCCTCTTCAGGATACTAGACAAATTACACAATAGTCGTCATGCTGTAAATGAAGATTGTTCCTCTCTTCTCCCCTTGTTTATCGATCAGGAGACGCCGGGGCATAGACATTTCCTTAGCTTTCTACCCCTTTTAGCCGATGGGGGCTTCCGCCCGAGGACCAGGAGGCTGTCTGTACCTTATCTAGCCTGTTCCAGGCGTTATGATAGAAAAACATACTCCCTACCCGACCCCCTTGCTGTTTTTCCCCGCGCATTTCTCTGGAACTCCGTGGGAGTCTTGTGGCAGTCATGCCCTTTGTGTCAAACATCTCCTCTAAAGTATGGTATGACATGCTGAGCCAATGTATTTGCCCAAAATCAACTCGTACATTAAGGCCTGGGCACCACATACAAGGGACTGTAAATATCTGATTTAGAGTAACTTCCGCTTTGCTGTCTTTAATAGAGTAAAGATGTTAGGCTTTCAGAAAATAAATGTTCAAAATTCAGTTAATATTGTTGGAAGTCTCGGAGACTATGCAGTGTAAGAATACAAGATATTCAGTAACACTTGCAGTATATGTAGACTTCACGAAAATATCAACCTTATCAACATCCAAAAGACATCATAATTACAACCATTTACCAAAAAGATTATTGCGGAAAAAAACTTTAATAGTGAGTGACGTGTTAAATATTTCAAGTAAATATGGAAATTATTCAAATTTTAGTCTACTTTCTATACTACACGGAAAACCCTTAATGGTTAATACGCAAACCCTGTTGTGGACTCTTAATAAATAATTACTTATTATGAAAACAAGAATTCAAATGTCCCTCCCACTCCAATCCGAACCATTTAAACACTGCTAGAGCCCGCGGCGAGGCCGGCAAAAGATATGGTAACGAAGTTAGACTTGGTACATATATCGTCAAAATTAAAAGATCAAAAAAAGTGGTAAAGTAAACCGAAAAGACCAAAGAAAAAAGAAAACCAAGCCAAACTAGTGGTGAACGTGATTCTACCGACTTTGAACCCACATCTTCTCTTCTCAGCGTAGGAAACAAACATTGTTATATTTCGACGATCTTTAAACGGATGGCCATCGTGCCAGTCCTCAGATATGCTGCAGTTGATCTTCTCGTAAATACCTTTGAATGAAATGAAATATTAGAATATTCATCTTAACTCAAAG